TCCCATTGTAGCTTAGGCTCCAGCACAACCCGCCTTGGCTAGCTTTTTAACATGCATTAAGTGTCACAGAGGAATGGAAATCATTTTTTCTTTGTTGTTAGACAATAAAGGAGAAAATAACTAAACTGAAAGAATAATCTTAAAAGTAAGCCTAAGGATGTACTTCTAGCAATTTCAGAAGGGTTTTCAACCAGCAACTCCTTACTAGCAAGCATTAGTAACATAAAAGGTGAGGTAACTAGGATAACTTTCATAGACATGGTACATCCTGCCTTGGCCAGCTCTCCAACAGAAGGCAAATTTCAACTGTAGCATCTTCCCCAGAAGCAGGGAGGAAGGAAGGGAGCTGAAGGACCCTCACTCCCTACCCATCATGCAGCCTTCCTCACCAGTCAAAAAGAGGGCTTCAACTTTTCACAGCAGAAATACTTTTGGAGAGAAGGAATACACCTGGAGAGGAGCCCTAAGCAGTGTGACAAGGCTACCAGCTGGAAGTAAATGACTGATGGCTGCTACGTTTTGTCCTTCCTTTACTATACTTTCTATAACTGCTTTCTGCTTCTTAGGGTTTGCTTGAATATTGGCTTTAAAATCTTAAGATCAGACTGTGCCTATTTTAACTTCGAAATAGCACCTAGAGCATGTTTTAGGCGCTACTTGTAATTTTACAAAGTGATCTCAAATCCGTAAGACTGGATTGAGGTAATACTCTGTGCCAAAATGGTAAGCAGGAAGATTCCTGAAAATGCTAAGGGGCCTGTTTGAGTGGGGTAACAGACAGGGATTTTTTTCCCCCGGACTTCCATCTGGAAGCTTATAGAAAGACAGCAGAGTCCAACGTGAGGTTTGCAGGAGGTACGGTGCGGCAGCCTTGCTGCTGCCAGCATTTCCCCACAAGGCACCTTCGCCCATAGATGAACCATGGCAGCAAAAGGCACTTCATTATTGCTACACCGAAGAGAAGGGAGGGAGGGTTTTAAACAACCTGCATTGTGCCTGTCTTCTTTAAAAACCAGCGGGGTAATCAAGTTCAGGGCAGGCCCGGACAGCTGCCCTGTGACCTATTCATGTTGACCCCCACTATTCATCACTTTCCTTAGGACTATGAGGGCAAGCTCCCGGGGAGTGACCACCACAATAGACAGATACGAGCCAACAATAATACGGTTCCTGCAAAAAAACCAGATGGCACTGCAATAAATTTACAAATCTGCATTCATGGCTCTGTTAAAAACACCCAGAAGCTAAAGGCTGGAGGGGCCCCCAGAGAGCTTCCCCTTCCCGGTTTCTAAAGGCCAGCTCTCTCCCCAAGACTATGGAGCTCATGTTCTTCATAAATGAAGAATGGAGACATAGCCCTTAAAATAACAAATGTCTGACCTAATCAATCTAGTGTTTGGGTCTAACGCTAAATGATAGGCACTGAAAACTAATTATGTTTTTTGGCAAGGAAGTTGAATTAAAATGGAAACACACAGGTTAAAAAGGCACTGAAGCATTTGCGAGTCCCTTTGAAAGGGCGGCACACACACACACACTCTCAGATGCAGGGCTTGAGACAGGAACCTGATTCAATAACTCATGCATTTATTTTTAAAATGAATCAGATTAGTCCCATGTGTGACCTGCCGGTCCATCTGTATGAGCTGGACTTAATGGGCACTCTTCTCACGCTTACTTCAGTTTGAAGTATGAGAGAGATAAATTTAGTTTAATTTTCAACAGATCAAGCTATCCATTTTCCAAATGGACCATCTGGATCAGCCTATTAAAATTAATTTATAACTTTGCAGTGTGAAAATTCGTTTGTTAGCTTAAATAAAGTTGCCAGAAACTTTTGCCACTTGTCATTGTTTTTTCTGAAGTCTGTTTTCATACTACGATTTTCAGTTTACCCCTTCAAAATTTAATTTTGTCAGGTCAAGCACTCAACAAGAACTGAGTGTTTGCATCCTTACTTCAAAGCTTGTCATGGCTTAGATCTTTCCAGTGGTCCAGCCAACACAGTGCCAAGTTCATTGCCTTTTTCTGCTTCCTTTCCCAGGTGTGTCTCCTGCCTTGCTGCCCCTCATGCACCAACGTATGGCCATGCCTCCCACTTCCAGCATGCCAAGTACACAGCTTCATTTGTTGAGGCTTCTGAAGACACCCTTCTCCAAAAACCATTTTTATCAACAGAAGATATTTCTCCTAGTAAGATGTCCATAGTACTGAGCAATGGATGTCCTTCAGCCCCTGCTTACAACTTCAGATGCTTAAGTAACCATTACATCTCCTTATTACCTCTACCTTCCAGTATGTCTGTTCCACAATCCCACCTAAGAAAATATTTATCGCTAAGGCTGCACAGCCACACCACAAGCAAGGCAAGAAAAGGTAATGTACCTTTACTTAAACTTTTCATCAGCAGGACATGTCAAGACATCACCCTTCCCTGAAGTAGTCTGATGCATCTCATTAATTTTCTAAAACTGAAAGTACTAAATACATGGACACTTTCACTGGAAAGCCCATTTAAGTAAACTGACTTCTCTACCCACATACACACATCCAATTCCTCTGTTCATGTAGGTCCGTGTTCCCCAATAATGAAATTTCAACAGTGGTGTCTTAAGGGAGAGACAGAAAATACAAAACCGTACACTCAGTATTTACCAAGTTAGCATCTTTCCACTAAGGTGGAAAGTATTTTTTGTCTGTTACTGGTTTGACAGCATTTGCAGGTCAGATCTATTTGGTTTTACAAAGTATGGACAGATATAAGAGAGGGTAGCCACACTACATACTTTCCTGCAGGAGATGCAGAACTTTCCAGTAAGTATTACTCTACTCATTGAGTGTAAGTATCTGGGCACATGACTGCATGTGTGTCTGATTTCTGCAACTGGAGTTGGAAAACCCCCCGTTGCTTCTTGTCCATGACTAGTAGAGAAGAGGAGCAATCAGAATTTGCAAAATGCTCAGACAGCTCTATTTATGTCTACATAGAGAACCAAAATTTCTTCTACAACAGGCACAAAATCATGGTCAACCACTTCCTATGATCTAGACAAGAGGGCACCTGCTTTAGACCACGTTTTGAACTTGTCCAGAAACACTGTTCTCAACACAAAAGGCCCCAGATAGCAATCAGAAGACCCATCTGTCATTGTAAAGACTGGACAGAAAGATGGAGACTGATACATCTCAACAATATCCCGAAACACAACTAACCACCTTTGACGTAAACAGCGTCCATGTGAATTACTTCCAATATGAAATATTTGGACAGTACAAGTGGTTTTTTAGGTGTATTCTTGCTATCTAGTCACCTTGGTTATGATGAATTGCAGGCCTGTAGGAAAGAGCTTTCCCTGGACACTAAGAATACTTCTGCAGATTGAAATACCACTCTGCCTTCTTGATCTGTATAATGCTGCTCATGAGTATTTGTCTCCTCCTTAATAATCATGAGGAAGGACTCAGCGTGATGCAAAGGCACACAAAACAGGTAACTCATGTTCCTTTTGATTTAACATCTCTCACTATGAACCTTTTCTTGGAGAAGAGACATACACCTTTTCTTGTTGAATCTGAAGGCTTGCCATCAATAAGATAACTCTAAGACAAGAAAACAAAAATAATTCTTGTGTACTGGGGACCTTGTTGGCTATCCTGGGGATACACAGCAGGGACCTAGTAGCTTTGTCCTCTTCCTCTAGTTCTTCTTGTTACTGAATGACAGAAACATTTTAAGTTTGTTGTAATGTATATAATCAATTCTACAAGGTAATCTTTCTCAGCAACATCTAGGACCTCATTCATTATCCTAGCATACTGTCTCTTGTCTAAAAGACTTATGTGGACTACATCTCTTAGATGGACCTGTCTTAGTCACATGTAGTCCTTCACATGACACCTACTCCCACAAAATCAAACACTCTTAACACAATACATTATTTTTAAAAAGCCCAAACCAGCAACAAACGAAAAAAAAACCATCAAAATACCCCAACCAACCAACCCTGTCCCTCATAACAACTCTCAGCTCTGAGCACAAGAACAGTATATAAAAAAAAAATAGTTGTTTTTCTACTATGGTTCTGACCCACAATTTCTCTTGGAAATAGCTGCAGTGGGGCAGTGTAGTACCACCCTATTCCTCTGCCTGAGACTGCTGCTCCTATGCAGAAGGAAGTCTGCCAATTCCTCAGCTGTTGCAATGTGTGGCCTGGGGTAGTCACTTAAGTCACGTTCCTCAATGGTTTTACTCTGATACACCAGGCAGCAACTTTGGGCAGCTGAAGCACAGACATATTTTTGCTTCTGCTGCCTGAAGGCTGCAGTGGGGAGGAACAGCAAGGTGAAAAAAGGATCTGAAATCACTAAAGCTAACTTAAGTCCCCCAGAAATCACAAACCAGACTCCCTTTGTTGACTATGGGGATTAAAAAAGTGATTCCTTTGCACTGGTAAGAAATTGTCTTTACTATACATAAAAGGCAAAAAGATTACGTTTTATCAGACCACCCTTTCTCTTTTCTATCCATTAGTAATTTATAAGATTGCAGAAGAAATAAGAACAGGTAATTTTTCAGGTTATTAACCTGGACATCACCTCCAAGAATATTTACCTTCAAGGGCAATAAAAAGCATAATTGTTGTAGAACACTTCGAGACTTTTGATCTGAAGCAAGGCAAAATATCCTACAAACAAGACAGGAACAATTACAGAAGAAAAGGCTGAAGAGGTCTTGATGAACACCAAATGGAGAAAGGCAAAACTAGGGAGTCACAGCTGACTGCACTATACAGAAGCCTAGATTTCTTTAGAAAGAGTTATCAAATTCTCCTGAAAGCTAAATCTCTGTGTCTGATTTTCCTGGGTACAATGTGAGTTGTTCAGACTTCAAAGAAGACAAGATTTCCATGAGCGCAAGTCAGACTTCAGCTTCCAAAAGCATTTAAGAATTCAAATAGCTAGAAAGTTTTACCGCATTTTTAAAGAGACTGATCACATACCTGTCTAAGTGAATTCTTCTCGGGAATGATCTTCCTAGGGGGCTCATCATTATTACAGTCTTCTCTCTCAGAGGAATTCTGTGAAAGAAAGTAAGCTTTAATTCAATTCTTATCCCTAATATCACTCTGCAAGGAGAAAAGAAACAGAACACTTGTACTACACAGGCTGTAGTATTTTACGTATACCGGAGGCTAACTTGCGCTTTTAAGCCAAGCAGCTTGTTATGGCACAGAAAGAATTTCTCCTTCTCAACACAACAATGCACCACTATGCAGGTCTTTACCGAAGAAGCCTGGGCTTTGGGGATTTATTCTTAAACTAACAGTAACAGCCACTTTGAAAACTGGAATGGTGGTTGGATCAGCATGGCAACACCAGTGCTCCTGAACATCCCAGAATAACTACTTAAAACAGTGGAACCTGTTGAAAACAAAAGGTAGTTAATGGATGCAACTGTTATTCTCTGTGCCTCTATGCTTTTAATCTGCCTAACAATTATTAATTGCACCAAGTCTGCTGCCAAAAATCTTGCAGAAATGATGATAGAGCTAAATTCTGGTGAAAGAGGTTGTCAGGAGATCCTTAAAAAAAAAAAGGTGTAGGTAGTGTATGATATCAGGGCTGGTTTCACTCCTGCCCTCTGACTTTACATACATGTACAATTTCTAGAAAAGTTTGATACTCCAAAACTGAAGCTGCCACCTCCAAAAAAAGAGCATCAATAATACAAGAGAAGATGTTCAAGAAGAAAAAGGAGAGCTCTTGCAGCATAAAAAAGACCACCAGGAGACTTTTGTCCCATTAATCACATGATTAAAACCAATTATTACTTGTTTTAAAGGCAGGCTATAGTTATCCCAGGACATGCACAATACGTAGCAAACATTTGGTTAAAAACTGCTGAGTATGTGGGGAGAATCCTGTCCTTACTGCCAAAGTCAGCTACTCTGGAAGACAGCCTTCCTTCGCATGGATTCAGCCACAGCCTTGACAGAGTAATGACAGCCAGCTTTGGGGGAATCCCACACACACATCTAAAAATCAGTTTGATCACCACAGTATTCATAGCCTTAGGCCACATTCCCATGCATTCAGTAGCAAGCAACTAAACAGGTTTTAAAGAGATACAGAAAAACTGCGTAGGGAGAGCTCTGCCAGGAAAAGGGTGGTTTTCCAGTTACTTGCAGACAAGCTCAGGAGTGTGTATATTCAGGCAGAAGTTTGCATTCTGCATCTCTCCCCCTTGTTCCCCAAATAACTTGTCCTTCATTGAGCATGGCTTCTCAGAGAGCCAGCTTCCAGCAGAACACCTCAGGAGACACAAGTGGCATCTGTTGGCAAAAGGAGAAGCTGGGTCCTGCAAACAGCCAGCATGGCAGAGCAGGGCTAGCAGAAAGCAAGCAGGCTGCAGGAAGCCATCAGAAGAGCAGTGTGCTCGTGTGCCCACTGCAGTGCTGCGTGATCAGGCACTGTCTAGGCAGCTCGGTTTGCTAGGCTAGTGAAGGAGAAGGAAAGGTACAACCAGGAGGTAGGGCAAGGGTAGGAGCTGTTTGCTGAGAAATGGCAGATGGGGGAGACACACAACAAAAACAAACACAAAATACTTGCGGTACCATAAACTGGTTGGGAATATCCTGTGTAAATCAGGCTTACAGACCAACTAGTGATTTGGGATTTTTTTTAAGCAAGATACAGAACTTGCAAGGCACCATGACATCTTGGATGCTGTAACCAGGGTTTTATAATGGAAATCAATCCTAAACAGGCCTGATAAATTGCTGTAAAAGGCCAGCTTTTAGAAGTTTTCATATGAGGTCTCAGCCAGGACCAAGTTATTACATTAAATCCAGCTTAGAAAGGACTGATCGTAAAAACATACAAGCCAGAATCACATATCTCCAAAAAGGCAGGTCAGATGTTAAAGCTGCTTTTTTTCTGCTCATGAAATACAGTTTAATAAGTGGCTAATTCAAGCAAGGATTTTAATTTCTGCACTTTGGAGAAAAAGACCAAGTGTGTGAAACACCAGCGTCTGAGGTGAGTTACAACACATTTCCAGGAAATGCATTTTGTTGCGGGGTGAGGGGGTTGTTTACTATTTCTGGATGCTTTTCCAACATCTACACCCTTCCCTACAGTAAGTGCCAAAATGACTTCCCCTTCCAAATAATCTTTCTACAACAGTGAAATCTTGCATTCTTCTCTCCTTTCAAAGCCATTAAAGATCCTCCCTCAAAAAAACATCCAAAAGCAGGAAAATCAGTGCTGCTGGCAAACTGTCAGCCCTTATTTTGAAATTTCTAGTTACTGCAAAGCATCAAGTTACCTTCTTTTCCTTTAAGCTGAGCATCTCATTTTAAGAGCAAGCAGAGGACCATTTTGCATTCATTATCTTTATAGGTGGCAAGGCTAAGAGGTTGGCTGAACAAAGACCAGACAAAGACTGCCAAGTGCATATGGTGGTTCACAGCTTGGCGTCTCACCATTCTCCAGCACCAACACAGCAGCTCCGATAGCAGACTATTAAAGAGGAGCGCTGCTTGTGCACTTTTGTCGGCAAGTAAGTTACGCTTGGTGAAGACAGAATGACTGGAAAGCACTGCACTTAAGAAAAAGCACAGATGTTTATAACTCCCACTCATTTCTCAGGAATAGGAAACCTATCAATCCAGGTGCAGGTACAAGACCCTGAATATTTCAGGACTAACTGTAGCTGTGTGGAAGTGAATTTCGCTTGATAGGGCAACATTTAGCCATGGTCATGGGAAGAGCATAATGTAATCGACTGAAACAGTACATCTATATATTTCTCCTTGCTGAACAAGGTGGGAGGAGGGATAAACATGTGCGAGGTCAGAATAAGGTTTGCCTCAGCAGGACTTCAGTGATGCTCTTGGCCGCAAGAGAGGCAGACAAAGGGAGGCACCGCTCGGAGCACCCTCTCGTGGTTACTGAAACGCATACATCGGGCACAGACCTGGAGAGAAGCATTTGGTATCCAGACGGTAAGTTGGGTGTACACACTGGGAATATTCAAGATCTGCAGCAACTGTACTTGATATGTAGTAGAGGAACGATAGAATTTGTTAGGGTGAAAGAAGTGAAGAAAACCAGTGCATACAGAGAGCTGAAAAGCCATACAAACTCCCTTCCATCAGGGAAAACATTTAAATCCTGCAGGCAAGCCTTCCTTTATAGACTATAGCCAGACTCACCAAAACTGCCTGCGCTCGCATGCAGTGGTCTCTCCTTGAACAAGGTAAGATGTGAAATGCTTAACTCTCCAAAGCACAAATAGATCAATCTTGGTGAGATAAATACTGTGTATTTCCCCCCCTTTCCACAAACAGGTGAAATATTTATTTGCCCAAGGTCACATAATGACATTGGAAGTGCTGGGAAGAGAAGCCAGGAAACCCAAGCTCACAGTTCTTGTAACCTCTAAAATTTCCCTCGAACAGGAGATTCCTGTAAAGGGGCTCTGCCCTCCGTAGCTGATTTTTCCTAAAATGGCTACTGTCTGTAACGAGATCCTTTTAAATCTGATTTTCATTCAGAACTTCAGCCTGTAATTAACAGAATGTAACTCCATGGCAGGTTGTCTTAAAGACCACTACGAAATTATTACTATTTAACTCTCCCCACGAAGCCTCCTCCACCACTAAACACAACATGCTACGATGCATACCAAATCCCTAGACTGAAGCATTTGACAGGAGATGACATGCAGTATTTTGCGTACACAGCCCAGCAAAACACTGCTGGGGACGAGATATAATACACGGAGAAATGCACTCCCAGGGACCACCAATTGGGCAGAGCTACCTTTAGTACCGCCTCACTCGTCGTGGTGGAAATCAAACCCCTGCCAACTGGGGGAGGCTTTCTTTGGTGTTGTTCTGTCCTGTACTAATTATAAGAGTACAGACGCAGCCTTTTTCCAAGTGTGGGGAGGTGGGGGTGGGGGAGAAGCGTGTGTCTAAGCGAAGAGCACAACTATTTTTTATGCTTTCAAATTCTTAATCCTGTTTGGAGCTGTCAGTGGGGGTTAATGGAAGCCTTGGATAGGAGAATTCCAATCTGGTTGGCAGATGGATAGGTTGGTTATAGCTGCATAACTATGTCTTGCCTGCAGGCACAATTCAGAACACTGTTAAAGCAATATAAAGTCTCTGTCAAGCTGAACCATTTGGATCAGTAGCAAGGAGAAATAATAATAAAAAAAGGAGTTCATTTCTGGGCCTTGCGCGTTTATGCTAGTATGCAGAAACTGATTAATTGTCATCGTGTGCTGGTCTGCTATACCTCGGATTTCTACTTCTGGAGTAGATTTTGCATGCTAATATAATCATTCTCCCTCTTGAGACATTAGCAAATAATCAAATGAAAAACAGGATCATAATTTACTGAGATTCGGGCAATTCTCTATGCAAATTTGACTTGTTATTGCTGCTGCCTCGTTAATCTGAATGCCTTTGACAAACTCCTTTGATTTATGAACTCATGACAACTCCAATGTGTATATATTTTGCTAGATTGACATTATCATTAAGAGTGGGTGGACTGAGCTCACATGAATGGCTGATTTTATTCGCTGGTGTCTGCTGCTCAACAGCTGAGCATCTCCTTCTCACAAAGCCCCTGAGCGCCAGGCTCTTCCCATCTACCCATCCATTCATCATCTCGATGTTAATTGGCCCAGGCTTTAAGCAAATTTTCAACACGATTTAAAGGCACGATGACACTGATTACTGACCCTCTGCCATACGGTGCCTATTGATTAACCTGACAGAGATGATGAGCTTGAGGGAAACTAGGTGTGTGTGGACCTCAGGGGCGGGGGGTGGTGGTGGAAATAATATTGTTTATGCAGGCAAAACACTTGTCATTATCCCAAAGGCCAAAATTTGTGCTGCACTGGCCCTTAAAACACACTATTGCTTTAAACACCTGCATCCAATACAGAACATGCTTGCTTGCTGTGGAAAAATGATTACAAATTTGATGTCATGTGCAGTCTGTATTATAATCGAGTTCCCTGATAAATAGAGCCCCTCAAGCCAATCAAGTCTCACTC